ACTAGAGAAAGAGAATGAGAGATGGGAAGAGAAATAGAGAAAGGGAGATAAAGGAGAAAATGAAATGAAAAAAGCAAGTGATAAAGAAAGTTATAGCAAGAGAGAGAGAGAGAGAGGAACAAGACAAGGAATGCACACGCAGCCAAGCTTGAATTGTTGCTCCGTTGCACTGTTGCACTTCCCCCGCTCCTCCCTCCCTCCCCTCTCCTGGGTGGGCGGAACCGGTGTTGCAAGCTAGAAATATATCAGGATGGGCGGTGAGGTCGTAGGGCGTGCATCAACAGTGTACAGTATATATATCCAGAGCCTGAATCCCCTTTTGGAGTGCCCTCTAGTAAATAAATTCCTACTTTTCCCCTCTCGATTCCCTTTCCCTTCCCCTTTCTCCTTCCCCTCGTGCTGGTCTGGGAGGAAGGGTGAAGGGAAAGGATTGAGGGAAGGAGGGGAGGAGGAGAGGGGAAAGGATTGAGGGAAGGAGGGAGGTAGCGAGGGAAAGAGGGGAGGAGAGAGGGAAGGAGGGAGGGAAGGATTGAGGGAAGGAGGGAGGTAGCGAGGGAAAGAGGGGAGGAGGAGAGGGGAAAGGATTGAGGGAAGGAGGGAGGTAGCGAGGGAAAGAGGGGAGGAGGAGAGGGGGAAGGATTGATGGAATGAGGGAGGTAGGGAGAGAGAGAGGGGAGGAGGGAGGTAGGGAGAGAGAGAGAGGGGAGGAGGGAGGGAGTGAAGGAGAGAGGGAAAGAGGGAGGGAAGGATTGAGGGAAGGAGGGAGGTAGGGAGGGAAAAAGGGAGGAGGGAGGGAAGGAGGGAGGTAGGGAGGGAGTGAAGGGAGAGATGGAAGGAGGGAGGGAAGAAGGAAGGTAGGGTGAGAGGGAAGAATAGAGGGAAGTGAGAGAGGAAGGGAAGGATAGAGAAAAGAAGGGAAAGAAAGAGGGAGGGAAGGAGGGAGGGAGGAAGGGTAGAAAGAAGGAAGGAGAGAGGGAGGGAAAGAGGGAATGAGGGTAGGAAAAGAGAGAGGAGGAGAGAGGAAAAGGGGGAGGAAGGAAGGGAGGAATAGAGGGAGGGAGTTAAGAAGGGAAGACTAGAGGGAATGGAGAAGAAGGGAAGGAAGGATGGAGGAACAGGGAGAGAAGAAAGGCTAGAAACCAAAAGTCATATAAGAAAGACGGAGAGAAAGGAAAGGAAAGATAGAGAGGAATGGAGAGAGGGAAAGAAAAAGGAGGAAGGTAAGGAAGGGAGGAGAAAAGGGAGGGAGAGACGGAAAGAGGGAAGGAGAAGGGAAATTTGCCCAGTCTCGTCATAGTGGATATTGGTTCAAGCTCCGTAAAAATAGCATTAATTGCGTCTCTGGCCGGGGTTATGCAAAGAAAAAAAGGGAAAAGAAAAAAGCGAGAAAAAAAGGGTTGGAAATTAATAATAAGTAATAAATCTGATTTCCCCTCCTTCTTCATTCTCCCTTTTTCTTTATATTTTACAAGGTGAAAAAATGAGAAAACGGAAGAATAAGAGACTGTGTGCTCGTAAAAGGACATAGCGAATTTACACGAATGTTTATATATATATATATATATATATATATATATATATATATATATATATATATATATATATATATACATGTATATATATTTTCTTTCGTTTTTCTTTTTTTCTTTTTTCTTTCTCCTTTTTTTCTTTACACACACACACACACACACACACACACACACGTACACACACACACACACACACACGTACACACACGCACACACACACACACACACACACACACACACACACACACACACACACACACACACATATATATATATATATATATATATATATCTTTTTAGAAATGGATAGTAATTGTGCACGATAAGGATTCGCCTAATCCACAAATCCGCCCATTAACCCCCCCCCCCCACTTTTCCTCCCACACTCCCCCATCAACCCTTCCCTCTCCCCCCCTCCCCCCTCCCCGCCCGCAGCTTTCCGCCCACACGCCTCCCTCTCGTTAACTCTTCACAGGTGATAAACGCCCACCTCAAAGCCAGTGATAATAAAGGTAATTTATAGAGCGTGATTATGAACGCAAGGCAACAAAGCTTAGGTATTCTAAAAGCCATACCACTTCCTCCTCTTCCTCCTCCTCCAATTCCTTCTACCCCCTACCCCCCTCCTCTTCCTCCTACTCCTCTCCCTTCTCCTTCTACATCCTTACCCTCCATCTCCTTCCATCCCCTCCTCCTCCTCCTCTCCCTCCCCTCCTCTACTCCTCCATCTCCTACCCCCTCTTCCTCCTCTCCCCCCTCCTCCTCCATCTCCTTCTCCTCCTCCTCCTCCTCTCCCCCCTCCTCCTCCATCTCCTTCTCCTCCTCCTCCTCCTCTCCCCCCTCCTCCTCCATCTCCTTCTCCTCCTCCTCCTCCTCTCCCCCCTCCTCCTCCATCTCCTTCTCCTCCTCCTCCTCCTCTCCCCCCTCCTCCTCCATCTCCTTCTCCTCCTCCTCCTCCTCTCCCCCCTCCTCCTCCATCTCCTTCTCCTCCTCCTCCTCCTCTCCCCCCTCCTCCTCCATCTCCTTCTCCTCCTCCTCCTCCTCTCCCCCCTCCTCCTCCATCTCCTTCTCCTCCTCCTCCTCCTCTCCCCCCTCCTCCTCCATCTCCTTCTCCTCCTCCTCCTCCTCTCCCCCCTCCTCCTCCATCTCCTTCTCCTCCTCCTCCTCCTCTCCCCCCTCCTCCTCCATCTCCTTCTCCTCCTCCTCCTCCTCTCCCCCCTCCTCCTCTCTCCCCTCCTCCTCCATCTCCTCCTCCTCCTCCTCTAATTCTCAAACCCTTCATTCTCCGTCTCTCGATCCCCACCGTCTTCCCCACCTTTGACCTCTCCCCCCCCCCGCCACTACCCTTTCAACCTCATCCCTTCTCTCTCTCTGCCCCTTCCCTTCCCCTACCTCTCTACCCCTCCCCTCCCTCACCTCTGGCCCCTCCCTTTCCCTCTCTTAACTACCAATCATCTCTTGCTAATGCATACTCTCCTACCCCCCCCCCTCCCCCAATCCACACTCCTGTTCCTCCCCCTCCCTCCCTCCATCTCTCTCCCTTCCCAATCTACTCTGTTTACCCCTTTCACCTTTCTCTGTATGTCTGTATGTTTGATCATCTACCTGTTTACTTGACTGTTTGTGTTTGTCTCTGTATTCGTCTTTCTCAGTCTCTTTCTGTCTGTCTGTCTCTCTTTCCCTCTCTCCTCTCTTCCACTCCTCTCCTCTCACTCTCTTTTCTCTTTACTTCTCTCTTTCCCTCCTCCCTCCAACCTATCTCTCTCCTTCTCTCTTTCCCTCTTCTTCTTCTTCTCTCTCTCTCTCTCTCTCTCTCCCTTTCTTTCTCTCTCACTCTCTCTATCTCCCTCTCTTTCCCTCCTCCCGCTCTCTCTCTTTCTATTTTTCATTACTCACTCTCCCTCCTTATCTTTTTCTCCCTTCCTCTTTTTCATTGCTAACTCTCCCTCCTCTCTCTCTCTCTCTCTCTCTCTCTCTCTCTCTCTCTCTCTCTCTCTCTCTCTCTCTCTCTCTCTCTCTCTCTCTCTCTCTCTCCCTCTTTCTCTCTCTCTGTCTCTCTCTCTGTCTCTTTCTGTCTGTCTCTCTCTCTCTGTCTCTCTCTCTCTCTCATTCTCCCTCTCCCGCCAAAGCCCATGGTAGATAATGGCCCAGCACTGGCTCTGCAAATCCAGCGTGATTTCAAACACAAAATCCCGATTTACGTATCATGGCTTGGTGCGTTTTATCATAGGGAATTATATACACGAATCACGGGCTGACCTTCCTCCTGTCTCTGCCTGTCTGTCAGTCTGTCAGTATATGTGTGTTTGTGTGTGTGTGTGCGTTTTAGTCTTTCTCTCTCTCTCCTCTTTCTTTCTTCTTCCCTTCTCTCTGTCTGTCTGTCTGTCTGTCTGTCTGTCTCTCTCTCACTCTCCTCTTTCTTTCTTCCTCCCTCTCCCCGCCTCCATTTCTCCTCCCCTCCCACTCTATCTCTCTCCCTCTCTCTCCTCTTTCTTTCTTCTTCCCTTCTCTCTTTCTCTCTCTCCTCTTTCTTTCTTCTTCCCTTCTCTCTATCTCTCTCTCCTCTTTCTTTCTTCTTCCCTTCTCTCTCTCTGTCTGTCTGCCTGTCTGTCTGTCTCTCTCTCTCTCTCTCTCTCTCTCTCTCTCTCTCTCTCCTCTTTCTTTCTTCTTCCCTTCTCTCTCTTTCCCCTCTCATCTTGTGATTCGCTGATTTCCATTTCACTGTTATAATCTGTGATTCCGTTAATCTGTTCATCCCACTTCAATACCGCTGAAATTACCCTAATCCTTATTAACGAATAAACATCGAATTGTGACAACTCACTGGTAATAAAATCCCTATTACTAATTAAAGAGTTCCAAGCCATTCATGTGTGATTTGTTAATACTGATGAGTCACGAGTCGCAACCACTGTTTCGTTTTTATGTTTTTTTCTTTCTAATAACATTAATTTTAATAACATTTAACAACAACTAAAATCTGAAAAGTATTCTTTGAAGCCTTTAGTTAATGATTAGTTCATTATACTCCCTAACTCTGAGTCACTCCCTATGAGTCAGAGTGACGCATTTGTCAGTGTTTATACAGCAATATATGCTTTCTGAGTATTCACCCATTACTCAGGGTGACTCACCTACGATTCTTAGTGACTCACACATGACTCTGAGTGACACATATTCACCTGTAAATTATTATACCTCATCCATGAATCACTGTGACTTCTTTATGACTCATTGTGACTCATACATAAGATTCATCGATGACTATGACTCACTGTGACTCACTATGACTCGCCGTGACTTATCCATAAACAGTGACTAATCCATAACCTACAACTAATCCACGACTCACCGTGACTCACCCATTCCCTACAACCCATTCATAACTTACCGTGACTCACCCATATACCTACACTTCATCCCCGACTCAACCGTATCTCACCCATAACCTGCGACTCATCCCTGACTCAC